GTCTGTCTGTCATTCTGACTCCATTTAATCTCGTGCTTTTTGTGCCAAATCAGTTCAACATATTATAAAGCAACGAATAGGGCAAAAAGGCTCTATGACGTAAATGAAAAGAGTTTTTTAAGTTTTGCCAACTGATCCAGTGTGATTCTCAGCAAACTGCTGCAAAACGCGTACCACGCAATTCCCAATGCACGCTTTTATTTGCTGTGTGTACTTTATGTGTTCAAAAAACTGCCAATTGATGATAGTTGATCGCAAGCTTGGCTTTTCGGTGTATTCCATTAAATGTTGTCACCGCATTTGTTCGAGGTTCACTGAGAGCTTATTTGAAATTTTCCTCTTTCCACCTTCCGACATGTCCTAGGCATTTTGGAAACATACTGCTTTACCTAATAAGTACATCAGCCTTTAAGACTAAATGAATATTGAAAACATCTCTCTCAACATATTGCAAAATTTTAGCTGCTCACGAATCCACATGCACCGGGTGAATGCCGCGTGAATCAGGTTGTGCAAAATATTCCTCATTTCGGCAAGGATTTTGGATGCCCGATCGGTTCACCGATGTATCCAGCAAGCGACCAGCGCTGTCGGGTCTGGACCGGTCAATAGGAACTGGTCAAAGAATTTTGTTCACATGTCTTTCAGTAGATTGTTCGCTTGTTACAAGTGTTCACCACGCTGGATACTCTTTTTGTTTTCTCAGCATGCCTTTACATTCGTTTTTGCATAGCGCAAACGCATTTTACAATGTTTATGCATTATATGTATACATATATATATATATATATATACACATATATATATACGCAAATACATATATGCATATATATATATATATTTGCGTATATATATATATATATATATTTGCGTTCATACTTTCAGCTTCAGATTCATAGTTTCTTATGATAAGTAAGAAAACGGGGACTTCCAATCTCAGAAACCAATCTCAGATTCACAGTTTTCCTTTCGCGTGTTTTAGAGGAATATATTTGAATTCCAAAGTGTT